CACACTCCCTCTGCTCCTGGCTGGTGGCTCAGTTTCAGCTCTAATTTTAGCAACTGATTTTAGGGCCCTTCAGCTCCACGTGGTTTTGTTGTTTCTTTAAAATCCCTGGGACCGAAGCGTCCAGCCCCTTCACTGGGAGGAGGAGAGGATGAGTACCTCTGGCTAGAAGCAAGACCTGGGGGAGTCCTGTAGCCTGAGCAGGCAGGAGGTGCTGGCGTGCAGGGATGGGGCTGGCAGGTCCCCCGGGGCTCCCCCCGCACTCTGCTGAGTGCCAGCTCACTCGGAATGGCCCAAGTGCTGTCGACATGGGTGAGGGGAGACTTGTGGCAGAGAGAATGTGATGATGCTCTGGCTGCCTGATCGAGGAGCAAGCGGCAACCCTCAGCGATGGGCACAAGCCTCCCCCCATGTGTCTCTCCTCCAGGAGGGTGCTTCCCTGGCCAGTGGCACGATGAGCAGCAACGGGGGCTGCCTGATGCCCCTGAAGTAGAAGAGAGGGAGCATCTGCCAGGTGACTGGTTGGTTGCTTCCTGTGACTTTTCCAGTCCTGTCCAGGCTTTACAGGTATTTTTTTACATGTTGCAGACAGGAGATCCTCTGACAGGGGTGGGTGACAGGCGCAGGCGCTGTCAGTGTGCATATGGCATGCTGGCGGCTGGGGCATGAGGCAGAGGTCTCTGTGGTGGAGGCAGGAGCTGCTGGGGAGCACAGAGGGTTCGGCAGGAATCTCAGTGGTAGCACAGAAAGCCTCTCCCCTGCTGCTCCCAGCACCATCAGGCTGTGACTTAGCTTAACCGTTTCCAGGAGGCCTCGGTGATGAGTCAAGGGGCTGTGGGGCCAGAAGGCTTGTGGCTACAAGTGGGGCAAGGACAGGAGCTGCCTCCCCACTGCCCTCCCAGCAACCCTAGAAGCGTTTTGGGGCAGGCAGTGGGTTGAGCTGGAGCATGAGCACCAGCATGCCCAGGCATGGTGAGGATCCCCAGAGCATCCACAGGGCTCATTTGCTGGTCTCCTAACAAGCTGAATTCTTCCAGTAGTGGGAGATGAAGCAGATCCGGTTGGTGACATTTGAATTCCTGAGCAGACGAGCCTGACAGAGTGACAAAGCTGGTCCCTGCAGTGCCCCAGCTCGCCTTCTGCCTCCAGCAAGTGCCGAGGGGCACGGTGCTGTGTGAGCACCCTGCCACCTCCTTCCATTTTGGCACAATTCTGCTGGGATTTTAATGACTGCAGGTCATGTCTCAGCTGCCTTGTCATGTGTCCTGTAGCTCTGGGACCGCTCTCCCTCCTGCCCAGGAAAGCATGAGCATCCTCTGGCCGGGAGGCTGTGCCCAAGCTGTTCTGTGGGCAGACAATGGGAGTGGGGAGAGGAAAATTTGTGCTGCCGGGGAGGTGCCACCTCCCACTGCTGGGGAAGGTCTCCCAAAATGCTGGTTCAATGTATAGTCTTTGCTGCCCACTCTGATGCATGAGCCTGGGGGATGCTGCGATCCTAGAGGGATGAGGCCAGACAGGAGAAAGTCCTACAAGGCGCTGGGTAGTGGGTGATTTGGAGGCAACCCAGGGGTAAAGATTGGAAGGAGTGTTATTTCACCTGGGAAAGAGGAGTGCAGGTATCTTCCCTCCATAAACCCTTGTTCCTGAAAGGATGATGAGTAGCACCCCACCACCACCCTTGGGTGAGCTTCATGTGTATGGATTACATGCAATAAACCCTACACTTTGGGTGCCCAGTGGAGGGTCCTGCATAGAAGTAATCCTTGTGTGCTGCCCTGCCTCCTCCATGTTTGCTGGCTGTAGAAAGGGTGAGCTCCTGGGGAGGGCTGAGGAGGGAGGGGGCACAGCGTGACCTTGCGAAGGGATGAGTCCCCTTCCCTGTCCTACTTACTGGTTCCTGCTGTCCTAGCCAGAAGCCTGGCCCCGACGCCGTCGGTGTCCCGCTGTTCACCTCTCGCTGAGCTCCTCTGCCCGTGTGAGACTGCATTTGATTTGACTGGAGGGCTCTGCCTTGCTTACTCCGTGTCCACCTTGCTGCTCCATCTGTTGCCTTAGCTGCCCTGTTAGCAAGGGGCTTTCTCCTCAGCTGCAGAGTGTATTGTTGCCTGTTGAGTCTCTCTGTTGTTTTGCCATGCTGCTGCGCCTTTGATAATTCACTCTCTGCTTACACCTCTGCCTTCAGACTCTGCTCTCCAGTCTCCCCGGGTTCTTTCTTTCCTTGCAGCCTTCCTCTTCACTGGGATGATCGTAAGCCCACTCTGTCCTATGCTGACCTCCTGGTTGCACTTCCCTGCATCTCTGTCTGTGCTTGCCCGTCCTCCTGATCTCCTTTGGGATCTCACTTGCACCCCCTTTGGAAGATCCTCTTATCCATTTTTTTGGATGATCCCCTTATCTGTTTCTGTTGTCCTAGCTCCTCACTTCATCCTCTCTGCCTTTTCATTAGATCTTTAGGCAGCTTAGTCATTTTGGTCCTAGACAGGATAGTGTTCCCAGAGGCCACTTCCCTGCTCCTTCTTGGGGACATTATACTCTCCTGAGCCTGGCTGCCAGTGCTGAGCTCTGCAGCAGCCCTGCCAGGAGCTGGGTTGCTCTGGGAAGAAGTGCAGAAACAGAGGCCATCTCACTAGCCTGGCCCCCGACTTGATTTATACAGGCATAAATTAGGACCACCAGGCTCTGGTTTCACTTCGTTTTGGGGAGAACGTTGGGTGAACTGGGAAGAAATCAGGTATTAAGCATGTCTTGTAGCTGTCTGTAACGAGGCAGGTAGTGACCAGACATTGAGTGTCTGGTCACTTCAGTGTTGTCCCACCAACCTGTTCCACATCGATGTGGAACGATGTGAAGGGGATATTTGTCCTTTGTGGGAGTCGCTACTACAGCTGTGTCATTGAAAGGATGGTTGTAGCAGCCTAGATAAGCTGTAGGGAGACAGCATGTCTCACATCTGCCTTTTATGAATCTCGTGATGGGCTTTGGGAAGCCAGCTTGGGACGTCTTGGAGGCCAGACTGGAGTCCTGATGTTTTAGATGGGTTACAGACCTCATATGAATTTAGTGAATGTCTCCTTGCTCTAAGATCCTTTGAGTTGTCCCCTTCTGCATTAAGTGATGGAGGGCCAGCTGGATGCATCCAAAAAACCTGCAAATCTTAGAGATACCCATAGCTGGCGTGTGTTGCAGTAACCTAAAATAACAAACAGAGCTGAAGATTGGCTGATGGGCTTGTGGTTGGTAGAGCAAGGGGCAGAGCAGCAGGGAGGCTTCTTGTCTCCTTGTTGCTGAAAAAGCAGGAGTGATATGAGCCGCCTCTGCTCTGCTGCTAAAAACAGCCCAGCTTGTTTTTATTTAATACAGTTTTGATCTGCGTGTGTTAGTGTTTCACCTGCCTGCGAGTGGGAACTCCGGGCTCCGAGCGCCTTGGAAGCCCGCCTGCGTCCCGACGCGTCCCAGCGGCACGGGGCTTGCGAGTGTGCTTCCTGCTCGCCTCGTGGAGGTTCAGGCTCCAAAGTGTTGGGACGGGATGGGTAAAGCTGGAGTTCGTGCTTCTGCCACTGTGATGCTGCTGGGTAAACTGGGGCTCCGCCGAGCCAGCTCTTGCAGGCTTTCCCAGGAAAATAGACTCAAAAACGGCTCATGTGGGTTTTTCTCCTTGTCTTGCTTGCGCAGCATCCTGCCAGCGTGGAGGTGGCTCTCCAGGTGGCCTTGGTGCCAGTGCCAGGGAGAGTGTCGGCCTTGGCTCATGTCTGTTACAGATTCTGCCCAGTGCAGCATTTGGCTGGGAAATGAATGATTTGAAACGAGCATGGTCCATCCTCAGAGGTGAAGGGGGTCAGGAACGAACAGGCTTTGATAGCATCGTGATTGATGTGTCCATAGAGCTCCTCCCTGGAGAGGGGCCAGCCCTAGCTTCGGAGAGCCCCAGAGGGACAGGGACCCTAATGGAGGATGTCCAGGCAAGCTGTGCCAGGGAAGACATGTCAGGGAGGACGATGAGGATAGTTGGGGAAGGGAGAAAGAGGACGATCATTGGGTGCGGGAGGAAGAAGAGGATAGTCAGGACAAGGAGGAAGAAGAGGAGAGTTGAGGCCAGGAGGAGGAAGAGGAGGGTAGGCAGGGCAAGGAGGAGGAGGGTAATCAGAATGGTTGCAGGGTTAAATAAAAGCTGCCAGTGATTTAAAAAAGGGGAAAGAGAGAAAACCCACTGAAGAGACACTCTCCCTGCTCACCCGGCTTGTAATCAGCCGCCCCCTCCGCCAGCGAGCAGATGGGGGGGAGGCGGGCGGGGGCGGGGTGGGGGGCACG